GCATGTTTCCGCCATACAGGCCTTCATCAGGGCAGACCTCTTCAATCATTTGCTTGTATATGTGGTTGTCTTGTATCTGTTGTTTTCCAAGCATTTATTTAATGTCATTTAAATTGTCTGTTTGCATTCGTCTCAAATTGTTTTAAAGTTAAAATGTATAATATAGATATTTTTTTCAAGTATTACCTGATTTTTTTAAGCACAAATTGCAAAAACTTGTGCAAGATGTTCCAACACAAATGCAGTTTCAGAGGTCGCTGACAATCCGATTACTTGTGTCATGTTTTTATTTTTACTTTTGAACCATTTGGCCTTCTGTACTTAATAAATTATGTTTTTCTTTTGCACTATTGTCTTGGGAAAATTTAATCTCAGGGACAATAAATAATATCTATGTTAACATATTTAAATCTGGTATAGGGGCGATGCGATTGGCTAATCAGATAAGGGATGCCTTGATTGCACTGATCTATATTACACCAACACTCCAAAAATTACATTTAATTCTGATTTCAGCTCTGCTCCTTGAAACACCCAATTAGGGTTTGAGGAATGAGAGCGGTGCAGTAGAAGAGTTTGCTACTCTGTAATCACCACAGAGAGGTCTCCAACCTGTACTCATTGATCCTGTATTGATCCGTGTATGAGAAACTCTGCTTTAACCCAGTTCTCCACTCTTACTCTCCACAGTCACTCGATATTCTGACTGAAGTATGGTAAGGGACTAGAAAACTGACCAACATGAATAGAGGCGGAAAAGGGGACTAACACAACACTGGCAGTTTTAAGCTGAAAATCAAAGATTTGGGGAAAAAATAGAAATCACCCAGTGTTCCCATACAACATGTGATGTGTTTAGGCTGTCCCCACCTTATAATTGCAAATATAGAGAGAAATCTCAATCATTTATGAAGACCTCACTTTATACTCTTTACTCTCTGTGGTTGAGAGACATGTCAAATATGCTTAGTTTGCCTTTAAAGCTCAGATTTAGCTCCTCTCGCTGTGACAGAATAAGGCTACAAGGAAATGTTCCTCCTCCATCTCACTACATCAAAAGGTCTTTGAATTGCCTCCGTCGCCAAGAAAGATAAATGCTGTGTTGTCGTGTCTGCCAGTAAAAATGTAAAACCATGTGTCAATTCTGCCAGCCGGGGAGATGCTTTGTAACAAATTTGTTTACTCTTCCTCTTGAATAGCCCTGATCAAACTTTTATTAGTGTGCTGGATGGTGGGAGAACTAACTCTGCATCAGCAAAAAGTTACATTGGCGTACTACTCTCTCAGTTTTACGAGCAAAACAGAGCTCTCCCACGGCACAGTCGATTTTCATCTTTATTCAGACAGCTTGTTTTAATACTCAATGTATGTCTCCTGTTATGGGAAACTTTGCAGAATCTATGAAGACAGAGTGAACATGTTCCTGCGGGTAGATTTAAGCATTTTCTCAGGGAGAAACTGGCCCTTTAATCAACACACACAAAATGAATCAAAATGTAGAGTATGCAAACTTTATATCTTTATGAGATGTTAATAACTGATCATCTCTGTGATCACATAGAGAGTAAACTGATATAAGCATTAGAATAACAGCCATGCTCTTCTTTGTTTTCTTAGAATTAGTCCCTAAATATATCAGCAGAACTATTTGCACATCCTGAGACAAGAAAAGAAAGTATCTCGGAGCATGTTTTTGGCAACTGAGAAATACAGAAAAAAGAGAAAGGTCTGCACACTGCTCAGCTCCCAATTAGCCACTTTATTAAGGACTTCTTCAGGCCAGGTGAAAAACAACACTGATCTAAATGTAGACATTCAGCAATTCTATTACAAGCTGCATAAACTTCACAAATGACCAACTGAAAAAAAAAAGGTATAAAAAAATGTTTTGAAAAGGTGAAGTGCTGACCAGAAGCAAACGAAAGCTGCTTTTATTTAAAGCTTGTTTTACTATAAACTACTAAAGGTTTGTGAGGTTTTTTTTATATTACAGTACGGGAATCTTATTGTGTTTCCATATTTGTAGTGTAGGAGTTGTAAGATGCTTAAAGCTGTGTATTTTAAATCGCTGTAGCTATAAAGAGCTATACCTGGGGATAAATGTAAAAAACATTGGCATAAGCTATAACTCTCTGTGCAACTCAGTAGTTTCATGCTCTAAAACTGTGGGGAATTGCTGTGCATATAAAAAAAAAACAAGTTCTGACAATGCAAGGGTCTTTCTGGAAGTCTGATTTTGAAATTGTAGTCACAAATAGTCAGAGAATCAAAGAATCCTGACTTGAAAGCCATTTCAAAGTATATGTCATTAAACAGCTCAACGAATGAGATGCTACTTTACACATTAAACATGGAACAAACATTATTTATTTTCCCTGACGTTAACAGACCCGTTTAGAATGAATCCCAAATCTGTTTCAACTTGCTCCATCCCCATGGAACTCAATATGGAAAAAATAATCCAAACCATGAGGATATCTCACTCATTTTTCTGCCTAGTGTCAACATCATCCTCACATCTATAAGCATGGGCAGTGTGCTGGCAGTTTTTCTGCCTCATTAAGACAAACTGTCACCCAGAATGCACGCTAATTAAGGTGTCAAAGCAGAAGGTATTGTTTCCATATAGACGGTTGTGAGAAGACACATAGCGGATTATACAAGCTGCCTGTGTTTCCAGCATTTATTTTGGCTCCTTACTTATACCATGAGAAAACACAGATTGCTTTATCTTCTTAATAGCTAGAGCTTCAGGTGAACATTTAGCGTTTTAGAGTTGTTTTTTGTGTTTTTTTCTATTCCTGCAAATTAATATCTACACAACTGTTTGAAGTAAAGATGCATGAAATGTTGGAAAGAATGTGAAACAATAACAGATGGAAATAGAAAAAGACTGAAAAAGTATTGATGACTTCCCAAGTTCGCAGTCTGTTTTGGTATTTCTAGTCGGCTAATTGCACTCAGAGTTTAGAGGATGGTGTTGCCATTGATGACTTAATTTTTATTTTACGCCCAAGAGAACCCAAACATGTACACTTTATTTCTACATATTTTTAAGCATCTAAGAATCTTGCCACCACAAACTTTAAAACGAGAAAGTCAGTACTGAAAATTCAGAAGTCCTTCATCATAACGGTTCATAAATGAGGTAAAAGTCTTTGTTGTCAGCTGAGTTATGTCTAACTATCAGCCAGCTGGAGAACACTTGATCATCGCAGGAAAACTGTCCCGTCAAAGCCACTGAGGACACACAAAGATGTTCATCTTTGCTAATGTTTACACTGAGTGCAGAGGTGGGAACCATTTATTCATTACATTTCCCCAAACAACTGATGTGAAGAGAATGAAGGTGCTAATGGGGCTATGTATGGCACTTTTGTACTCACAGTGCTATCATCTGGCTACAAAATACACTTGAGCTTCATGAATGGATTTTCTGGTCTGTCCTTCTTGAGCTGATTAAAGATGCACCAATGTTTTAATGTCTGACGTGGAAATGACTTTCATTTAGGGTTATGTTGTTCCTTAAAACCTATTCATCATGTTCTTTATAGTGGATGAAGAGTTGTCTGCAGCTTAAACTATTAGCCTGAAACAGTCATCACTTAAGGGTAGATGGCTCCTTCTTTTATTGTGTGTACTTAACAAAATGAATAAGGCACATAAAACAGGTGCCAGGTGCAGCTTGAATCCTCTCAGCCTCTATTTTAATAATCAGGTTTGTTTTGTGCACCTTCCAACTGTGGGATGGCTTTATTATTTTCTAAAGGTTTTTGGTTAAACCAATATCAAATGGATGCATCTGTCTGTGTTTCCAAACCCCAGACTGTATTAAAGGGCTGTTTTATTAAAACTCGAGCTCAGTCTGTCTTTTAAACGGATCGGCAGTGTCATTGCCAAAATTAAAGTGTCACTGTAGACAATTTGTTCTGTTTAAGATTTAACTCTATAAAGAATCACGTAAAGGTTTCATGTCTAAACTCAGGAAGGAAAGTCTCTGTGACTTGCAATAATGTACCAAATTAATTTTTATGGAGTCAGCCTGTAGTGATTAATAGGATGTATTGTATTTTAAACTTTTAAACTGAACTTTCAAGCTGAACTTTCGTTTTGCATTTTAGACACTGGTTTGTTTATTCATTTCTGACTATTCTGGTTTGCTGACTATTTGCTGGTTGATTGCTTTTTCTGCAGATTTTTTTTTAACAATGCATGTGCTCTGTGATTGATTGGTGCGTCGTACGTGATGTTGGAAAAAAAAAGAAAGGGGCAATATAAGCCTACATAACAATGCCTTAAATGAATATGTTTTTACACCTTTCAATCCCACAAGTAACTCGACTATTTCTGCTCAGTGTTGCTCCGCTCGGAGTTTTCACTGCCTGCAGGGCGTGATTGTGGAATTTGTCTTTTGTAAAAAAAACGGCTTTCGGCAAGCTGCTTCTCACTGCTGTCAGTATTAATCGGCCACAGGGACTGAAAGAGAACGTCCTTGATGTTGGGTCAGTGAAATGTACAGCATGTCAAGTACTGAAGAAAAGCTCTGATTTAAACACAGAAGATGAAGTATAAAATAAACTGTTCCAAAGGACACTATTCTATGATTCCATGCATACTGTGGCTTGCTTGTCGTGACTTACATACTGTATGTCAACCCATTAGACCGTATTAATTTTATGAAGCTTTTATTATGGACAGTATAAGGGATTAAGCCACTATCCCGTCCCCCAAAACCCAAAGCCTCACACACAAACAAAAATCACACTCATGCACACATACATATGCATAATGATTTAAATAGCAACACAAAATGTGTGGAAGAATTATACAAGGGGACAGCCTCTCACCTCATTAGGCATAATTTCCGTAGATTAAAGGCTGGCAGTCTTGATGATTCTATAATGAAACTGTCAAAAAGATGAACTGCTCTACAGTGCTGTAAGTAGCTTACTGGTCTGTAATATTCTGTTTAACAGAACCTTATTTTCTTTTCCTCTTAGGTCCAAAGGAAAGTAATGGCATCAGTAGGAGGACACTTGACCCTGACAGGGACTCGCCAACAATGGACACAGAGAGCGAGATCCACATTGTCAGCACTGCCTCGCCGATGAACGTCCCCAACCACCAGCCTGTCCTTAAGGGCCTGCTGCTGCATGAGCACCTACTCACAAGGGACTTTCAGAGCGACCAGCAATATTTTAGAAAAGATGGCTCTGTGGCAGCATATTCAACCATGCCCGGCTCTGTGTCTGCTGGAGACCCTGTGACTCAACTGGTGCCCCATGAGGAAGCCCCGGCCTTCTCAGACATTGCCACTACTGCCACTGTGGCTGCCACCTCCCCATTGACCACATATTCTCCCACGACGCCAGGGCCACCAATGTTTCTTTCTCAAAAGGAGTCCTCAAGGGAAAAGACAAAGGAGCAAGAACAGATTCAGCCAACGATGGACTCTCTTACCACCCAAGTGACTCTACTTAATAGAGGTTCAGGCGATGGAAAAAATCCAGTAAAAACCAGCTCTGATCATCCACACCTGGAACGGATTTCAGTATCGGAAGACAAAGTTTCCACCAGGGTGTCAACAACCGTTATTACAACTACCACCATCACCACCATGCAAACAACAGGTAGGATGTATGCTTTCTTCACATTTAAAGATGTAGTAAATAAAAAGGTATCTAAAAATGTTTTCCCCAGATAAATTAAAAGTTCAGAATACTACATCTACCCCAAAGGACATCAAGATAAAGCATCGAGTCATCAACACAACTGCTGTTCATTTCGCATGCTGCACACCACCATTCATCTCTCCACCAGGGATAACAGAGTTGCTCATGTGTCAAAAACAATCAGATTTTCCCTGATGTGTCCTGCCTGTCCTTTCTGCTGGCCACAGTGGACTAAAGGCCCCAGATGAGCTACGTATCTGAGAGGAAATCTGCAGAGATAGTTAGAGGGTTAGGGGGGGCCATGGAGACACAGGTGGGCTGTCAGAGAGATCAGTGGCCCGGGAAAAAGGGAATCACTTGTCTTTTTGCTGTCTCCCACAGAGCCGTGCAGTCTGAATTTTACTGACCCTGAGGGTAACATCGAAATCCTGCAGCAGCTTGACTCTGGAGTGGAGTGTAACTACTTGGTTACTGTCTACCTGGGATATGGCATTGAAGTTCAGGTCAGTGCTAAAGGTTCACTATGATATTGTCCCGTCACACTTTGTAAACACTGCATTCCAGTTTTAACAAAAAAACTGTACAAAAACCAGATCTTCAGACCAACATAAATTAATTGGTGCACTTAAGGACAGCTGAAAATGACTTTGCATTCAACCCCAAAATATATTACCTTAAATTATCATAATTTATATAATATTATAATTGATAAGTCCAGTATGTTCTTGACTACTACAGCAAGTGTAGAATAGAACAGGTTTATCAGTGAAGCATGCATCTGGTAATCATGAAAGGTAAGTAATGGCTGGTAAAACCAGAACAATCAGCTCAAAGATACCATAAAGCAATATGGTATCGAGTTCCAAATCAGTGACCAAATTCACAATAAGTCTTAAAGTAGAATAGCTTAAAAAAGCATTTAATCAGTGAATAGAATTGACAACTTTTATTTATTTATTTTTTTTAAGCTTTAACTGCTTTAAGCAGACAAATTCACAAAAGGAAGTTAGTCTGGAATCTCAGAGGAAAGTACTAGCATTAACCAAAGTGCATCTAGATGCAGTAGGACACAGACAACCACTTAGATTGATGAAACGTGATGCAGAATTGAGCTTTGCTAAACTCTAATAGCAAAGTAATTTTCCTTATCAATTATAGCTTTTATGTTGTTTCTTGTTCCTTCAGAGAAAAACGGTGTTAAAAGCATTATTTGTTATTCTGTGTCAAATTTGTCAAAAAATGTGGTTGATGTTGTCGCATAACGTACAGTACATGGTAGCCCACACCACGCTGCTTCTAGGTTAAACCAAACTTCGATATTTGTTTGAGATGGGCGAAGAAGCAGTAAACTGCTGCTAAAGGAACCCCGCTACCAGCTAAAATTTTTGCATGTATTGCTGAGCTGGAAACACCAGCGCAAAAGTAAAAATGTATACAAACAGGGAAGCCACCTTATGAAGGTAATCGTTGATTCACAGCAGGTATTTGAATAGATGTAGTTGGGGTGGACAGATTTTTCCTCCTTGAACAAATAAAACATGAGCTTGCAGATTTGTCTGGTTCTCAAACTAAGCTGTTACGGTATTTGCTGGTGTTGTGTGGGGCGGTGAAGATAGACAGGCCACGAATTGTTGAGGGGGTGGATGGGTGGGGGCTCAAGCGAGAGGTCTGTCTCAGGTTGAATGTTTGCTTGGTAAGTCTTTTCACAAAAGGTTATAAAAATTAACTGTCAGGGTTTGTGTGTCCCTGGCATTTGCAATTCCTCAAACGCCTCATTTACCAACTGAGTCTTAAAAATGTGTGAGCTTTGTCTTGCTGCCTCTGGAGGGCTAAGATAAGTCTTGACAGAGTATATGTTTGAGAGTGTGTTCTTTTTTTCCTCCAAGAGCTTCCTCTGGGCAACTTAAGTAAATCTTAAACTACTTATAAGCAACATGCACTCTTACCTGCACACACCAACACACATGCATTTCACCACAATCAGCGTTTAGCTTCCAGAACTTTCTTTGGAAAGAAGTGAAAACTGCAAGGCTATAAAGAGAAAACAGAGACATATAAACATCACATATATGGTAAATGGCTTTTCGAGTCTTCTGACTACCCAACACACTTTTTACCCCAAAGTTCACATTTACCCATTCACTCCACATTCACATATTGATGGCAGAGGCTGCTATGGACAGTGTCCATCACGTCGACATATGGCTGCAGGAGCTGGGGATCAAATCCTCCGACCCTCGGGTTGAGAGATGGCCGACTCTACCTCTGAGCAACAGCTGTATTCAACATATACCATGCCTGACCAAGAATCAGGAGGCAGCCATGTGTTTCAGCAACACCATATGAACAGATTAGACCACAGTTCCCCTCCGTTTGTATCATAAATAAAACACATGGCAAACTGTACAGACACCTGCATGGCTGAAGAGCATAGGAAGCGCATGGTCTATTACTTGCAAAGACATAAACTGAACTGTAGTTAAGAAAGAAAGTCAACTGCATGTCTTAGGTGCCATGGTTTTCAGAGGAATTAATGCAATAAGACAGTAGACTTGTAGAGAAGCAGTGGGTAAATTATTATTTTTTTTAAAATTGGGACATTTTTAGTTCACTTTGACACTGTTTTCCTTTACCTGTTTATAATCCTTGGAGCAAGCAGTAAGTGAAGGACACACATTTCGCTCCTGTCATTTTGGAAAAACCTGATTCAAAAGGACCTATCCAACACATGTAAACATGAATTCAAATCTGAAAGTTGTATCAAAGCAGCTTAAATAACAAGAGACTCAGAGCCAATGGTGGTCAGTGATGCTGCACTTCTCTTTGCTGCAAGCATCATGAACTGTATAACCTCATTTTTACATTATCACACTCTTAAATGTTTTGGTCTGTCTCCTTTGATTACTTTTTTAGGCAACAAGGCAACAAGGGTCCAGTGCAAGATTTTTGTGATATACAGTGCAGTACTTGCCAGCCCACTCCATGCACGGACTTTAGTAGTAACATAGAACTGCTGGTAGTAAACTTATCCAAAAGGTCTATTGTGACAAAACGGAACATTTTCTAATTTTTAGAATTGGCAATACCCAAGTCGATATAAACTCAATGATCTCTGGATGGAGAAGAGACATTCCACTGCCATTTCCCTGATGGGATTGTGACATTTTGTGTATTCCTGGCCATAGACTTTTGTCTGGTGTTTTATGTGTATGTTAGAAACACAAAAATATATATCTCAGTATTTTCTTTGACCTGCTTGGTTTTGAGACCATTTCCTGTGCCGAGTATTAACATGGGGAAAATGCTTTTAATCCACACTTTAGAGCAAAGGGAGCCGTAGGAGGGACATTATGGTTGAAGTGCATGTTCTTGGCAGGCAGCCTCCGTTATGGACGGGTGTAATCATTATAGCAGACAGACCAGCAGTTTGCAAGGGCAAAGGAAGGAAATTACAAAGAAGAAAAACACTGAAGGACAGATTTGGTGACAGCATAATAAATATTTATGTTGTTGTAATGTTCCTATGGTTCAGTATAATATCAACTTTAAAGGCGCAGTGTATGTCATTTCCAGCACTCAGAGACCCCTTTTGGTTTTTCCACCAGCATTCAAAAATATCTCAGAGATTGGTGAGGAATAAATAAGCAGGATCAGACCTTTTCTGTATTTAGTCAATACTCCTTTCAGCCTGTCTGGCAGCTTGCAGGGAGGGGAGGATAAAAATGTATCAGGAGGATTTACTGCCCTCAGCCTGACTGTTCAACCCCTCTGCCACAGCTAACAGCATATAATGCATCGCCCCATCTGGTGATTCTGGACACATTACAATTTATCCGCACAATAATTGCACTAATATGTGGAGGCTGATGGAACATAACTTTCAGTCTAGAAGGTAAAGTATTGGTGTAATATTTGTGGAAATGCTATTTTAAAAATGTTCTGCCCTTGCCATGTACACTGTATGAATACTAAAATGTGTAATATATGTGCAGGAGGTTTAAACTGATAGATTAGAAATAATCAATTGTAAATCACTGTGTAAAATAAATATTTTTTTGTCTGATATTCCAGCCTATTACATTAATTTTAATAATGACTAATGCCAAAGCCAAAGAGTTTTGCTGTTTTATGGAAGCCTCTTTTTTAGGGTTCATTGAACTCGTTTTTCATGTCCTTGAAATTCTATGTAAAACAAAAATCTTAAAATCCACTTTGGCAGGTTTGGTGTGCAGTGTGTCATTATTAGTAAAATAATAAAGATGATCAGTTTTACAGATTCAAATCCAGGTGTTAAACTTGTAGCCTACATTAAATCGATGAAATTTGTGGAAATCAATATCAGTTGTTTCTGTCCATGGTTCTGGGTTGTCTATGTGCCTGTCCATTTTTTTTGTTAATGCAAAATCTTAGGCAAACAAAAAGAATATATCTTAAAATTTGTAGCAGATGTTTACTTGGACCCAAGGATGAACAAAATAGAATTTGAAGGTTAAAGCTCAAGCTCACTTTGATCTTTCACACTGAGCTATTTGGTCTTATTTTAAGGATTGACTGAGTTTCAAAGAACTTTATAGAAATGTCTAATGCAGTAACAATTTGAAGTCATATCCCAGATTAACTTGAAAACACTTTCCTTGCCGTGGCTTTTCTTGACACTGATTTTTCAGCCATTTATTCTGATCTTATTCTAATGCACTCTATGTCTCAGTAACACCTACACAGGTAGATTTCAGTTTGGCAGAATTAGCCAATAGGATTCAAGTATTGTCCTTTAAATGTTCTAGTGAAGAGTGAAAGGCCACGATCACTGCAACCTCATGTCTTTCCCATTCTCTTAAAAGCAATATCTCAGTTATGCCTCGAGGTAGTTTTCCTTTAACCTCTGGTTTATTCTTTTTATCTGTCCAAAAGTATTGTGCCATCTCCATTTGAATAGTTTACAATTTCCCTTTGCTCTACCCCTTCTGCACTTCTTCGTTTTCCTTTGCAAGAAGGGTTTCCAATCATCTGAGACAGAGAGAGAGAATGAGAGAGACCATTTCTGGTATAAGGTCTCTCCTATAAAAAGATTGTTTTGCAACCTCTTCTGTTTAATGTTGACATACTCGTACCACTGACTTGAGAAACATATTCTATCAAGTATTTTCTGAATAAATTCAGACCAAAATTAAATCATCATTCATGAGGGAACTCTGCTGGATGTTAACTGCAATATAACTGGCTGATTTGTCAATAGAAGGGTAACAAATTATTTGTAGTTTGAATTGGTAACATCTTAAGCACATCTTGTTTCTTCCCGTTGTATAAGTCTCATCTGCAGTCACTTTGGCATCAAGGTTTAAGGGGACAGATGGAGGTTTTCCAGAACTGGGCTGTGGCATTATAGTGCTTAAAATCCATTTCGGAGCTGCTTTTATTTGATCAAATAAATCCGGTGGGTTAGCTAACTATCAGCTCTTTCCAGACCATCTGTCCTGCCCTGATTTCTTCGTCTCTTCTGCTG